ATATATATATATATCGCAAAAAGGAGTACGACCGTCTATCCAATATAAATAAGGATCACTCAGATGAGTGGTGGGTTCAATTTTCGGTCAACTAGGTGGAGAAATAAAAGACAAAGTTGATACTACTTCATCTATTTTGAAGACGTTTCGCTATCGAATTCTGATAGCATCATCAGTTCATCTAAAAATTTTTACATTATGAGTACCACACATTCATGAAGAAGATGTTAAATAGTTACCTTAAAAAAGATATGTAGTTGTCAATGGTATTAAAAAGGTAGTACAAAAACTCAAATAAATGGACATTATATGGTGATATTGTATAAACAATTAAATAACTAACAACATTTAGAGAAGTAAAAATTAGCAAAGCAACAGAACACGTGGTCTAATAAGCACATAATATTTAATATAATATTAACTAGTGAAAAAGAACTAAGAAAATCATTGATTCACTTCCAACTGTGCAAAAAATTTTATTTTAACTTCATCTTAACTTTTGGTAGCATTATTTAAGTTAACTACATTAAGATATAAAAAATATGCATAAACAAGATATAAAGTGAAGTTACCACTGAAACGTTTTGCCTTTAAATGGACCGGCAAAATCGAGGTGTATTCTTGTCCATGGAGCTCTGGCCCACTCCACGGATGGATTGGAGTCTTTTTTGGCATGTTTCTAGACTCCTGGCACTCGCTGCATGTATTTATTAGCTGTTCGATTTGTTTGTCGAGATTTGGCCACCAAACATATGAGCGTGCCAGTGACTTCATTTTTACGATTCCGGGGTGTGCTGAGTGTATCAAATTCAGTATTGTTTTCCTCCCTCCAAGTGAAACTATTACCCTTGTACCCCATAACAGGCAGTCTTGATAACAGCTAATTTCGTTTTTACATAGTAGATAAGGAGTATATTCGTCTGAAAATTTAATTTTCTCATCAGGCCAACCTTTCCAAGCCCACTGCAAAACTTAAGATAACACTGGGTCTTTCTTAGTCTCATTGGCAATGTCTTTGGCACAGATTAGTTTTTCTGGGATGTTCTCAAGCATCAAAACGCCATCTGAGCTTGGTGGTTCTGGCGCATGTACCTTTTGTGGCAATCTGCTAAGAGCATCTGCATTCTGAATTTTTGAACCTGGTACGTAACATAATTCATAATCATAAGCAGATAACATAAGAGCCGATCTAAGCATTCTGGGTGACAGTATCTCTGGAACACCCTTTTTCGGATTAAAAATACCCAACAATGGTTTATGGTCCGTTTTTATGCCTATTTTCCTGCCATATACATATTCGTGGAATTTTTTAATGCCCGATATTATGGCGAGTGCTTCCTTGTCGATTTAGGAGAAATTTCGTTCAGTAGATTATAAAGTACGACTATGGTACGCCACTGGATATTCACGTCCCTCATCATCACGTTGACTAAGCACACAACCTACCCCGTAAGGGCTGGCATCACACGTCAAAAACAAATCTTCTTGTTCATTGTAATGCCCTAACACAGGTTCTTTCGCTAAAATTTCTTTTAATAAATCGAAAGCTTTTTGTTCTATAAAACGCCACTGCCAGGGAACGACTTTTCGGAGCAATACATGTAACGGATTTGCAATTGTTGCTTTGTCCTTTAGAAAACATGATAAAAATTTAAAAGTCCAAGAAAAGCTTGCAACTCGGTTTTATTGGTTGGCGCAGGGCATTAGTTAGGGCCGCGATTTTGTCTTTAGTGGGGCGTAAACCGTCTTACTAATTTGAAAACCAAGAAACTCTATAGTTTTTGTTCGAAAAACGCACTTTTCTTTGCGCAAATGCAGTCCGTCTTCCTGGACACGCGATAATACCGCGCGCACCTTTGAATCCAAGTCTATTTCTGAGCTACCAACTATTAAAATGTCATCGTAATAAGGTAGTACACTAGGAATACCCGTTAATCGAGTGTCTATGAATTTTTGAAAAATTTGTGGAGCCACTGATATACCGAACTGTAAACGATTGCATTTAAAAGCCCCTTTATGCGTAATTATTGTTTGTGCTTCAGCAGCTTCGCGGTTGACACTTAACTGCAGATAAGCTTGCGCCATGTCCAGTTTTGCAAAAACTTTACCGCCCGCAAGTGTGGATAAGATACCCTGTACCGATGGCACTGAATAAGGTTCCGGATTTAACGCTAAATTCAATGTGGATTTGTAGTCACCACAAATCCTAACCTCTCCGTTTTCTTTGCAAAAAGTCACAATTGGGGTGCACCATTTTGGGTGCGTAATCGGCTCTAAATCCCCTTTCGCAATAAGCCTGTCCAGTTCAACTTCGATTTTATCTTTTAGCGCAAATGGAACTTTACGAGCTTTACACATAATCGGCTTTACATTTTTGTCCAACGAAAACCTTACTGCTATGGTTACACCTAAACTATCAAACCAGTTTTTGCCGAGTAGACTGGCACGATTTCCTTCCGTGACTATGAGATTAAGTGTCGCTGATCTTGGACCTCTCTTTACCTCCACTTGACACTTATCCAGTGTGGGTATCACTGTGTTTTGATAGTCCATTAAAATAACACTGGATTTATCTATTTTAGGTCGATTTTCACTAAAGATTTCATGGTAGGTTGATTTGCTTGAATAACTCGCGTCCGAGTCAACCTCCATTTTCACTTTTTGGTCATTGAGTAGCACATCTACTAAATATTTACCGGTAATGCTATCAGACGTCACGTTATTTAACGTAAATTCATAGTCACTACTTTGATAAAAAACACTCTGAGTGTTTCCCGAAACCGGTTCGGTATTGGACGTAGATTCCACGGTAGTTTGATGTACTTTGCGTTTGTGAATTTGGTTCTTCTTTTTTGCAAAACGAGCTATTTCGATGTGTCCAACTTTCCTGCAATATGCACAGGTTGATTGTGAACTTGTGAACACAATGTGTTCACAAGTTTCGGGAGAATGTTCTTTTTCGCACCGAAAACATTTTTTCTTCCTTTCGCGATTAGCTAATTGTTTGAACTGGCCCGGTTGATTTTTACGAAAACTTACCGCGTTTACATCTGCGCTCGACTCACTTTCTCGTAGCACTGCCAAACTTTTCACAGCCACCTCGTGTGCAAGGCACAGGTCTTGCGCGTCCTTAAGTTTTAACTTATCTGTGACTAGCAACTTTTGCTGTAGCGATTCGTCGGTAATACCACAAACGAGTCGGTCACGTAGCATTATGTCAAGGCTAGTTCCGAAACCACAGGGTTCTGTCAATTTTCGTAATTCCTTCAGATACACAGATATTGTTTCACCAGTCTGTTGATTCCGACGATCGAACTTAAACCTGCACACAATTTCCGACGTTTTTTGGAAAAAAATCCTTTTTTAGCTCAAGTATGATTTGGTCATACGTTTTATCAGACACTTTGGACGGCGCAACCAAAGATCTAATAATCTTATATGTATTGGGACCACACAAACTTAAAAATGTAGCTTTTTTCCTATCAGGGTCTGTAATGTTACTTGCCAAGAAGAAAAAATCCATACGCTCGACGTATGATTCCCAACCTTTGGAGTCACACACGTTAAACTGTTCGATGTTTGCGAATGCCGCCATCTTGCACACAATTTGCTTTATCACCGGGACGAAATAATGCACTTAAACTGGCGCGCACACACGGATCCCGCATCCTCGTCGCCAAATAATATGTATCGGACCGGTTGTAAATAATAAACACAGTATAGGAAATACTACCGACTTTAATGATCACTCCAAAACGTAATGCAAATAACAATATACATTAAATAGGTCATCGTCGCGTCTGTATTCCTGAGTTTTTTCTCAGCTGATTGTGACGTAACCGCACTGCAGGGTTGCCAATACATCACAGTTGGCTATATAAGTACGTGTGCTTAGTTGTATAGTAATTTCCAGCCACGTCGAGTCTGTCAAAATGTAACCAACTTTGCAAAAAAATAATTACTAAATTCACTAGACAGTTCGGACTGGGAATAGCGAACCGAGTATATTTACAAAGAATATAGACGCTTAGGCCCGCAGCAAATTGACCACAGCCCATGCACATCCCACGCGCAGCCCATGTATGTCCAACCTAGTCCAAGTACACGTTTTTCAATAATAACGCATATTGAACACAGCCCACGCCCATGTCAAATATTTGTATTCTTCGCAGTGTTCGCAGTATTTATTCTTAAATGATACCTAAGCGGTACTTTACAAAGTACATGGTCTCATAAAAGCTAATAATACAATAATAAATGAATTCAAACCCATTTTGATCCCGACCGCTTGGTTCTGGGAATTTGTCAAGTTGGAAACTAAAAACCGGAACAACGCATAATTAATATAAGCTTCCTAGTGCACCTCACGTAAAAACTCTAAAAACTCGGTAGTCTGTTTGTTGTATAATATTTCCTTGTAAAAGGGTTTTATACTCGAGGTTTCGGTTCTCGGATAAGTATTAGTAGTAGTAGTATAAGTCACAGACTCATGTGGATGTTTTCAAAAGTTGTCTCTTTCTAAAACGTGTTTAAAATAACTTAATTCTTCATTACTCTTCCATAAAAAACTGAAGTAATATCCGACATAAAACAGAGTGTTTGTATTTTTCCAACAACTTTCATAATTTCTGTAAAATAAACTTCATTAATATATGAGTCCTTTCGGTTTGAAAAAAAAGCTACTGGAAATATGCCAGACACTTATTAAATGCACATTTTCCGCATATTGCATCGGCGTAGAAAGTTTACCATGTATATTTTTTATATGTTTATTTAAGTTAATAACTGATTTGAGAAAATTTTACCACATTCAAAACAGTTCACTGACATATTTACAACTTACGTAAACAGGAAACTATTTAAAACAATTTTTATTCGACAGGGCAAGATACCGCTTAACATTTTCGGCTTCACTTTTTGGAGGTTGGTTGATCGAGAATAAATATCAGCGAAAACAACAACCCAGAGAAGAAAAAGAAGAAGAAAAATAATTGTGAAATGTAGAAAGTAAGGTTATGTTCAAATTTTTCAAAAATATTTACGTTTTTTAGAATATGATTTCTAATTTTCGATATATATTAACAGTTAATAAACCCAAATTGGTCAAATTATACCCCCAATTAGTTTCTGCTTTAAGATTCAAATCGAACAAAGATGCTTTAAATGCTGATAAAAAAACCACAACAAAACGAAAAGCTGTTTTAGGGAATATGAGTTCAAAATATGATGTATTTTGCGATGAAGACGCTGAAATAATTTTAGATGTATATGAAGAAAAGTTAAAGTACTCACAACTTTTAGAAGAGCAAGAACTGGAACCCGATAGATATGCAGGACTAAATCTAGAACGTAAGGGAATAATGAGGTTATTATTTGATTAAGTCGATTAAGAAACAGTTTGTAGCTTATATGGGATTGTGGCATTCCAGTAAATTTACATACAGACAATAAGTTGTGCCCAATAAAATTATCATAAATAACATGCAAAGGTTTGTTTTGCATAATTTTTCCTTAATTCTTTAACATTTGCTTAGAGGTTAATGCTTCGAAAGAGTCCATAAAATATTGATTTTTTAAGTGGTAAAGTTTTTTAATTTAATTCTATTGGAATTATATTGTAGTTTCGTTGAGATGTTCTGTTTTCATTATTTTGTATGCTACTTGTGGCTATCCATGGATGTCATGTTCCAATAAACCATATTAATTATAATTACAAATTATATATTTTTGACATTCAGTCCAAAAATTGTTAAAAAAACTTAATATAAATGCTGGGCGAAGTTCAAATCTCATAAATAGTAATTTTAATTGCATTTATTGAGGTTTGTTTCTAAAAAAACATAGTATTTAATTTAAAACATACCACAAGAAAATGATTTGAGTACATGGAACATGTGTGTTAACTGTATCGTCATATAATTAATCAGCAAATTTGTTATCATATGGAAGATCACAATGACAAATCTTGAGTACCAAAGTCAACAAAAAGAAGGAGAAAATTTAAAAATTTTAAGTGTACCATAAGGGACTTGTTTAAAGCTGATGAGGCAGCTATATACAGGGTGTATCAAAAATATTAGTCATTGCAGCTTCAAATTATTCTATTCCTCAATTGTCAATCTTTCATATTTTTACAAAATCTCTCTCTAATCAGAAGATTTCTAATTTTTAAAGAATCAGAAAGTCAATAGAGTGAAATGTTAATCTGGATCTTTGTGTATGCAACAAATAGGGCACCAGTTTTCCTTCCAAATCCAACATCCAGGGTACTACCTGAAAATATATTCTGTTACTTCTTTAAAGTCTTTTGAATAGAATTGGACTCTTTAAATTATATGTAGAAGAAATAATGGTTTTCCAAAATTACTGTCCAAACATGATCTTTAAAAGTCCTTTGTTGGTAGAAACTGTTTTGTGTTAAGGTTTAATTCTTACCAGATCTAGATGTTATTATGGTTCGTAACATGAAATTATATCAAAGTACTGACAAAATAATAATGAAGTTTATATGTCTAGTGTTTTCCTAGACCTAAAATTTTCATGACTGGAATCAATCAGCTTCAGTGTAAACTAGAATCAATCAGCATAAAGTTAACCACTAGAAAGAACAGGAAATGAAAATTTTGAGAAGTGTTTGACAGGGATGTATATTGTCACCTCTCATATCATATTTAACATGCACTCAGAGGCAATTTTCCATAATTTCCATAATTCCATATTTAAATAATTTGAAATTGGAACTCAAAATTACATTATTCTCCATTTGCTATATAGAGTAGAGTCTTGGACATTGACTGAGGCTACAATAAAGAGGCTGAAAGCATTAGAGCTTTCAAAATATCATGGACAAAATATCAAATGTTAGTACACCATAAATTTAACACATTCACGACGGGTGTTATTTCCACTGAAAGTATTACAATACGATTCGGGCCCCGGGCGTCCTGTATCAAGATTGTATTCATATACGATTCGGGCCTCCGGCGTCCCTAATAGTGCCGTTTTTAAACATTGTTTTTTTCATATAAACAAATATTCTTAAAAATCTAATATGTGAAATAAATGTCGACAATTCTGTATTAAATACAAGGTTTTATCAGGAAATAAATATAATAAAAAATATGACTAATTTTAAGACTAATAAAAAATAAGACTAATTTTTAAAAGAAAAATGTGTATTTTATTTATAAAAGAAATACTTGGACAAAATTAACAAATATGCATTAAAAATTAATTTACATGATTTTCGTTGAAACAAGGTAAACAGTATCCTGGCTGACCTGTACAATCAGCGCAATAGCTGATTACTTTTCTAACTTTCTTATCCGCTTCTCGACTTGAAAGTGATTTCCGTAACATTGTATAACATCCTACACACTTTTTTCTTGGTTTGCGTCCTTTACCCTCCGGTTTTACAAATGTATGGATTTTTCGTTTTGGTGTTTTATTTATTTTATCTCCAGTATCCGTAGTAACTAACGACCGAGCTAATTGCCTTCTAAATTGCATCATAGACAACTTTTTTCCTGTGGCTAACTGAAAAACAACCCATGCATTTACAACACACGTTCCAAAAAGCAACTCGAAACAAAGCTTTCGATACCATTTTAGCGATTTCCTCAAAACCGTAAAATAGGCGGACATTTGATCACTTATATCCACACCTTTTTTAGCTTTATTGTAATCAGTAATACATTTTGGTTTTTTTATTTCATTCCCTTTTCTATCTTTTTTACCAGTTTCTACAAGAATCGCCTCATGTGTGGCATCAGATGTGATCATCAAAACTGGTCTCTTATCTATCCACTTTATTATTCTTAAATTCCCACTTTCTTCTCCATACACCTCAGATTTTTTCATCTTTCTTTCAAAAGATTTTGGAATCCCTTTTCTATTAGATCGAAGTGTTCCGCAGTATTTAATATTTCTTTGATACAATTCCTTCACTAAAGGAATGCTGGAATAGAAATTATCAGCGTATAAGGTTCTGCCCTCCTTCTGGTCTAAACTTAAAATTAATTTTAGTACAATGTCTTCTGAATGACTGTTACTGCTAATATTAACCGGATCGCAGTTTTTACCTGCATAAACTATCACATTGTGCGTATACCCATCTACTGTACATAATTTGTATAGTTTGATTCCATATTTATGTGTTTTATTCGGAATGTATTGTTTGAATAACAATCTGCCTCTCCAAGGAATCATGCTTTCATCTATTATAATCTCTTGGCCAGGTGTCAAGACAGACTTAAAGTTTTCCAGCAGTATATCGAGCAATGGTTTTACTTTGCAGAGCCTATTTTCACTGGCAACCATGTTATCGGAAAAATGTAGATATTTGAGCAATGTTAAAAATCTATCACGGGGCATGATGGAACTTACAAATGCATTGTGAAACATTTCGTCTCTACTCCAATAAGCACTAAGTGTCGGCAAAGGAACTAAGCCCATTGTTAAAATTATTGCGAAAAATGATAAAATTTCATTTTTATCGGTATCATTCCATTCAACTCTTTTCTTATTTTTCTTGGAAATATCTAATTTTTGGATTGCATACATATTAGTTTCTCTAACAATCAGTTCCAAAACATCGTCGGTTAAAAAAAGTCTGTAAGCATCTAGCGGTTCTTTGATATTTTTCATATTAACATTTAACTTTTGTGTAAAATTTGTTACAAATGGGTCGAGTTTCGGAAAAATAGGCCCCCATAGGTCACATTGTTGACTTTGAATGTTAGTGACATTTTGCTCAGAGTATTGATTATCTTGATCCCCTGCATCTGAGACAGAAAATAAATCTGATTCTGTTTCAGAAATTGACTCTTCTTCAGAAGACGGCATGTAGTTTCTATCTATTATAGAATCGTCACTAGAAAATGGCTCATCGTCATTATCACTTGATACTTCGATATTAGTTCTTTCACACATAGCAGTCTTCTCAGAGGGGTCATATTCCATTTCTTCTTCGAACACATCTTCCATGATATAATTGTCTTGATTTACTGTTTTTTCATGAGTAACTCTTGTAACCATTCCAAAATAAATATCATTTTGCTCTTGTAATGGATTATTATGAGATTCTTCCGAAAAAACAGAACAGACAGGTGACTCGTCATAATCTACTAGTTTCTGTACAATGACTTTTGGTTGAGAAGATTGGTTTTCTTTTTCAGTTTCAAGAGCTAGGTTTAATATTTTGGTCGCTCTTCTGTTCATTTTTGAAACACTGGAACAAAAATACATTTGTATAAAATGCAAAGTGCAATGAAATAAACAATTAAAAGTTTATTTTACAATCTAAAGCATCTTCACACACACACACACACACACACACACACACACACACACACACACACATATATATATATATATATATATATATATATATATATATATATATATATATATATTTTATATAGATTCTACCTTGTGTCTTACAAATAGAATCATACAGTATTCAATTATGAAAAAATGGAAAAACATCTGTGTCTAAAATGGTTTAGATTGCAAAATAAACCAAAACATAGTAATTTGAATGTATTTTTGTCTAAAAACTATAAATAAATATATAGGTACTAATAACTTACCTTCAAAGATCAATACAATACTGCAGTTTTGACAAAAAACTTAAAAAGATCGGAAGACCTCCGCGGTACGTACCGTGTTACGATCAAAATTATTATCATAATACGGCTAGGGTCTCCCGGGTCCCGAACTTCATTTCGGTTACTATGAGATTTGCCGCGAAATTTTACACAAGGCGCTCTTTGAACTATCGACATCTGTTGACTAATAGTGGAAATACGCCTTTCGAATATTGGGAAAGTCAAGAAAGATTACTACAAAAATTTTAGATCATGACATGTACAGGACCTCGGGGTCCCGAACCGCCGTGAAGGTGTTAATAAAGAAAGAGACATAATTTACACAGTAAACTGTAGAAAATTGGAATTTTTGGAACACTTGATTACCAAATATAAATTGTTAAAATACATCC